GGGGGGGGGGGGGGGACCAGGGATGGAACTCGGGCCCTTGCGCTTGTGAGGCAGGTGGCAGAACCACTGAGCCAAATCCCTGGCCCTCAGTCTTTACCTGCAGTTCTTTGGGGCCCCGTTTCGTAGGGCCCTGGCCACTGTGCTGCTGCACCCTCCAAGACCTGGGCCGGACTTGCACTTGTGCAGAAGAAACCCTGCATGGACGTTTGCTATGGAGAGCTGTTTCCCTCCAGGAGAGGTTGTTTTCTCAAGTTTACTTTGTCTGTCTTTTAAGACAGGGTTTCACTGCGTAGCCCAAGCTGGCCTCAGACCTGTGATACTCCTGCCTCAGCCTCCTGAGAGTTGGAATTACAGGTGTGTGCCAGCCATGTCTGGCTTATTTTGTATTTCATTTTTTTTCCTAAAATTATGGAGAGTTACAAAAAAAGTAGTTTTCAAGTGCTCTCCAATGGCTGGAAACCCTGGTGAGTCCATAAAACACAGACTTCAGTCAGGTTTCTGGGGGATGCAAAACACTGTGATACCCAGCTGTCACATCCTGGTCCTGCCAACCTGTGCCATTTCTCAGCTTTCCCTTCACAGTCATGAATGTGACACTCAGCACAAGGCTAGTCAGGCCAAGACCCTCTCCTCACACGGTCCATGACACCCCCACGGCGTAACCATTCACCTGCAGCCCTGGAAGGTGGCATCGGCCAGGTGTCTAAAAGCATGCACTCTCCCTCAGTTACCTCCCCAGCCCCACAAACACATCTTTAGGGGAGAGTCGTTTCCCTAGCTAGCAAATGGGAGTGCCTCAGGAAACACTCACTTTGATCTTTGGCTCCCCGCCAGGCTTGTGACTGACTTGTGGGGCGTCTGTGTCCATGTCCACTTCGGCTTTGTCTTCAGCTTGTCCAAGGAGGACCTGTGTCCAGGCTCGCAGGCCAGCCTGCAGACGCACACCCAGTATCCTTTCGATCTACAGAGAAAGCAGTCTGAGAATGGCATCTCTCCAAGTCAGCCATGGCGAGAGGAAGGACTTGGGGCTAGAGGTGAAAAGCCTGAGTCTGACCCTCCGTGTCTCTCTGTGGAGCCGTCCCAGCCTTAGACTGCTCTCCCAGTGGGCTGTGGTCACCCTCTCTGGGCAGCTGAATCTCCCGCCCTCTGACCTGCTAGTGACAGTGACACCAACAGTGTCCAGCACAGGTGAGGTCTGAGTGAGTGCAGTGTGGGAGAAAGCCCACCAGTGTTTTTCCAGCAGCCTGGAAATGAAACCCTACCAGCTGTGTTTGGCTGAGAACCCATCCTCTCGACTAGAAAGAAGAAAGCCTTCTCTGATTGTAACAGAGGACGTGAGCCACTGCAAATAGTCTGTCATGGAATACAGCCATCCCAGGGATGTGGGATGTGGGGAGGGCCACAGGGACAAAACCCAGGAACGCTAAGGGTGCGTGTGGGTCCCGGACCGTGGGACTCCTGATTCTCCCTGACAGTGTCCTCTGCATGGACGTGCTGCTCTGCTGTGCCCATGTTTAGAAGGAAGGAGGGGACCACGGTGGACACCAACCAGATCCAAGTGCGACCTGCAACCTCTGCTGTGGACACCTCACTCACTCCCGAGACTCCCCCGAGATGTGTTCTGGGCCCCACAATGAGGGGTGGTGCAGGAAGGAGAGGCACTGTGCTGCTGGCAACTTCTTCCCACACTGGGCGTGAGGGAAGGACAGACAGCCAGAGGATGGGGTGTGGTGTAGCAGCAGAGCGTGGCTCAGCATGCTGGGCCCGACTTCACTCCCAGCACCATAAAATAAAGCCTGTGAATGTCAGCCCACACCCAAGGAAGGCAAGGCAGACAGGAGGCGGTCACATGCCCTCAGGACCTCTGCTCCCTTGTGGCTGCTTATGTCCAGCTCAGATGTGCCGTGGACGCTGGGGGACAGTCTGGGGAGGGGCCGTCACGGATGACTTTTGAGACAGTGCCTTGCCGAGTTGCCCAGGCTATCCTCACCCTCACAATCTCCTAACTCAGACTCCTGAGGGTCCCCGACCACACCATCCCCATGTAAGGGCAACGCTCCTTGTGACAGCCCACACCCGTGTCTCACCTCCATGTCGAGCTTGTTCACCCAGATGGGCAGGTTGGAGTAGGAGTGCAGGTTGAGGTCATCCACTGCCTTCTGGACCCTGTTCAGGATCTCTGAGAAGGTCTTGTGGTCGTACATGCACGTCTCCAAGGAGCGCACCTCCAGGTCTATTTTCTCTTCGATAATCAGCAGGTCATCCACCTAAAGGAAGGTGTGCGTACCACTGACCACAGCCACACCCGCCGTCTGCCCTGCTTTCTGCAGTACTGAGGACCTAACCCAAGGACTTCCCACTGTGCTCCAGCCCCCAAACCCCCTCCATTTAAAAAATCTGAGACAGGATGGCGCTAAGCTCAAATTCGTGAAGCTCCTGACTTGGTCTCCCAGAGTGCTGGGATTACCGGTGTGCACTAGCATACACGGCTTGCTCTAGAGAGGTTAACAGGTACTCGAAGCATAGTTCTTCAGTGGCAGTGCATGCTGGCTGCTGGGGTGAGGAGGACACTCATCCCCTGGGAGAGAAAGGTGTGGCCACCAGCCTCCAGACCTGACCTGCCTAGGGAGGGCGTCTGGTGTGCTCACAGGTTGGGCTGAGTATGGGCCTCCTCCTGCCCAGCTCGTGGTGTGTTCTCTGACGGGCTGGGCAGTTTCCCTTTCCCTCTCCCTCCCACCCCTGGTTTTAGGCCTGGGGTGGGGCTCAGGCCTCCCTAAAGTCATCCGGTCTGTCCTCTTCCCCCACTCCGGGAGAGCCGAGTGCTTGGCTCCTGAGCTACACTATCAGGGGATGCAAGGGGCAAGTGGAGGCACCTTCTCCTGGAAGTTGAAGACCGTCTCTGCTAGGCGCTGCACGTAGGGGTCCAGCTTGTAGGACTCCCACACCAGGGCGATGCCCTCTGCGATCAGTGCCTGCACCTCCTTCTTCAGACCGGCCACTAGCAGTGAGATGGTGCTACGCTCCTCCACCTTCTCGCAGGTGCGCTCGTAGGTCCGCACGCTCTCGATCAGCGAGATGGCAAATGGGTACAGCTGGTTGGCTTGGTGAGCCTTGTTCACGATGGCCAGGGGCACCCGGAAACCAAGCCACTTGAGGTTCCGGACTTCCTTGGACAGCGTGATGATCTCGGGCAGGAAATTAACTTTGAGCTTGAGGACATTTCCAGTGCGGCCCCGCACACGGGTGCTCTCGATGGTGAAGATGCGGCCCGAGACGCCCAGGTTGCGCTGCTGCACCTTCCGGGCCCAGTCATCGAAGATCTCCTGGGTGTTGAGCTTCATGCGAAAGCTGTCCCCATCCTGCTTCAGCTTCTGGCCCTCCACATGGTTCTCCCAGCCCTTGCCCAGCACGTCTTCTACACGCTTCATGTAGGCGGTGAGCTGCCGGTCGATCTGCTTGGCCCAGATGATGGAGCCGGACACAGGTGGCAGGTCACGCACGTGGCTCATCTTGCACGCCTGGCTCTGTGGGTACTGCACCTTGAACTTGTCGTGCAGGGACTCGATGTCATCTTTCACGCGCTGGATAAGCTGCGTCTGGTACTCCCGGATGGCCCCGCGGATGTGTGGTCGGACAAACAGTGCATTGAAGCGGGAGAAGATCCGGAACATCTCATTGGCATTCTTGGCCGTGCCCAGCTGGTCGCGCAGGCGGGCGGTGATCCGCGTCTCCACACGGTCGATCCTCTCATCGTACCTCTTCATTGCAGCCTCCCAGGCCTCCGTGCCCTCCTTGGAGACGTCCAGCCCATCTACCTCCTTGACATTCTCATAGGCCAGGTTCACTTCCTCAATGGCGTTCGCGTCCGCAGCATCGAACAGCACCTCAGCCACTTTCATGTCCTGGGGCTCGGGCACCTCCCCCTGATTCTGCTGTGCGACTGCTGTGACCTGCATGAGACAGTCGCCAATGAAGAGCTTTATTTTGTTGTTCATACCACACAAGAGTATCAGTCAGCAACACAGGGTTTTGAACTCAGTCAAACATTTTGTAACCATAACTCGATGCCAAGCAAAACACTGTATCCTCTGACTCTATACCATAATGATTTCCTTACAGTGTGGGGTTTTGGGGGGCCGTATAACTGGGGATCAAACCCAGGCTCTTCACACTGGCTACAGCCCCAGTTTTTTTTTTTTTTGTTTTTTTTTTTTGAGACGGGGTCTCACTAAATACCTATGTTGCCCAATGTGGGTTCAAACTTTCAATCCTCCCGCTTCAGCCTCCCAGGGCAGTGGGATTACACCTGGCTGACAATGGGGGTTTCTATCAATTTTATGTTTTCCCCTGTTATTTGGGATCATTCCCATTACGAGGGCCTCATGCACGCTAGGCAAACACTCTACCATTAAACTACGTATCTCTAGCCCTTAAATAGATTTTTTTAAAGAATGAAAATAATTGATGAAGAAAATTCAGAAGAGGGAATAAAAGCATGTACAAAGAAAAAAATCACTGAATTCTTTTTTTTTTCTTTGTTACCAGGAATCAAACTTGGGACTTACACTTTCGAAGCAGGTGATGGAACCACTAAGCTAAATTCCCAGCCCTCACTGAATTCTTTTAATAATTCACAGGCAGATAAAAACTATTTATTTACATTTTACAGACGGTGATTCAGAAAAAGAGATTAAATAATGTGTTTACATCACATTGGAAAAGAATGAAGTTGGATTTTAAGACCCAAGAAGTCTGGCTCTGGGGTCCACACAGGATACTGGATTGAAACAACATAATATAAAGCCAGGCATGATGGCGCATGCCTGTAATTCCAGCACTTGGGAGGCTGAGGCAGGAGGATCACTGTGAGTTCAAGACCAGCCTGGGCTACACAGTGAGTTACAGGTCAGTCTCAACTACGTAGTGAGACCCTGTCTGAAAAAAACAGAAAAAAAAAGAAAAGAAAAAAAAAAGAAACAATATAATACAGAATCACTAATCAGATTTTACAGATGACACGATCAAGAGCAGAACAAGGAAAAAGTATTGAGCTGGGAATGTAGCTCAGCAGCACAGCAAATGCTTGGCAAGTGTGAGGTCCTGAGTTTGACTCCTGGTACCAAAAAGAAAAAAAACCAATGAATGCAAAATGGAAGAGTTCATTCTTAAAGGTTTAAACAGGGTGTTTAAACAAGGCATGCACAGATTTTCAGAATGCACTTATACCTGTGGCCTCAGCACCCTGACGATGACCGCTCTCAGCTGCTCATGCTGGCGCCTGAATTTCCTCATCTGGTCAAGGCGCGCCTGCAGCTTCCTGTGAGCCGGGTTGATCCGCCACACCATCTTCAGGTTTTCTTCCCTTTTCCTTTTGACAATGTCTCTCAGCAACACCTGCAGTTTCTCGTACTCGTCATCCCAAGTCTGGAAGACTTCGAAACAAGCCACCATGACCTAGGACAGGCAGGAGTGGCAGCTCATTACCACTGTGCATTTCCCTCTCGGTACCCGAGGCCAGTTTGCTGACAGATCAAACTCACCTTTTCAAACTCTTCGTAAGCGACGTGCATCAGCTTCCGAGTGCCCAGCACTTTGAGCAGCTGAGAGCTCAGGTCTCGGGAAATGGCCTCCACCAGGCGCAAGGCCCTCTGGATGGGGTATTTTGTGTTTCGGATCTTTCGCAGGTGGGTAAAAATCGCAACAAGTGCCTGCCGTATTTTGTCCAGCTCAGTGGCAGAGAGCAGGTCATTCAGAGGGAAATCCTTCATCAGAGGGTTGTAGTCATTCACTGTCTCCAGAGCCTGCTTGAGACCTAGGTAATGCAGAAAGTTAGCGGCATTTACATAGAGCAGCAAACTGAGCTAAGGAAGGGATATGGTGGCATGGAAACTATGGGAGACTGTTAAAAGAAATAATATTAAGAGGATAACCCTGGTGTGGTCCTAGTTTTTTTTTTTTTTTTTTAAAGCAGGGTCAATGCATACATAAGTTTAGAGAAATTAAAATGTTATTATCCTTGAGAACACTAAAATTTAAGTTTTATCCCCATGGCTCAAAGCGCATGTCATGTACACAAAATTACAGAAACAGAGCCAGGTGTGGTGGTGCATCGCTATAATCCTGGCACTTGGGAGGCTGAGGTGGGAGGAGCACTGCCAGAAGATCAAGGCCAGCCTGGGCCACACAGTGACACCCTGTCTCAAAACAGAGAAAAAGTAAAAAAAGGAATAAAATTACAGAAACAAGAGACTCTTAAATTTATTTCTTGACTTCTTTTGGCATGAGATTAAAAAATATATCAAAAGTGGAAAATTAAAAAGAAGTGAAAAGTCACTGTAATTCCCTTGAACTGAGGAAAAAAAATGAAACAAGCCAGAAGAGAAAAACAATTAAAAATAACAGTACAGAACTGGTCAAGGTGGCACATGCCCCAAATCCCAGCACTCTGGGACGCCGATGCAGGTGTATCTCAAGTTCAAACCTAGCCTGGGCAGCTCTGTGATTTAGTGAGACTCTTTCTCCAAACAAATAAAAAGGCAGGGGATGCAGCTCAGGATGAGGTGCTGGATTCAACTGCCAGTACCATAAAAACAAACACTATAGGGCTGGGGGATAGCGCACATGTAAGACTCTGGGTTCAATCCCTGGCACCCCACCAAGTACACGTATTACTTTTCATCCAAATTATCAAATCAAAGACCTCATAAAAGCCAGGCCAATAACTTAATGAGCTGGGAGGTGGTGCACACCTATAATCACGAGGCTGAGGTAGGAGGACTGTGATGAGTTAGAGGCCAGCCTAGACGACATAGTGCATGCAAAGTCAGCTTAAAATAGTAAAACCAAAGCACCAAAAAACCCAAAATACAAAAAACAAACCACACCAGAAAAAAACCAAACC